GACTTCTGTGCTAGTTGGCTATTTATTTATATGATCTCCTGGGAGTAGCTGTTTCTTTTATAGATCAATTGACAGGGGCCTTGCCGACCGATAGCTTAGTTTTAAGCCGACATATACTTGATTGATTCTTGATTGTGTGTGGCTGCCATGCGCTAGTAGCAAATGATACGGTAGGGTCGGCTCAGGCCTGAGTTTTGGCATTAGGAGCCAGTTGCACCCCTCGAGTTTGGGGCGTGATAGGTGCTATGCGTTTATTTTTAAAATTTTAACTTATGAGAATTTTTAAGTGATGTTTTTTTTAAAATATTTTCTCCCCTAAATTACTTATTTTTGTTATAAATAAGTGTATTCTTTTAATTAAATTAAATAAAAAAAACATAAATGAAATACATAACAAACTAAAATATTGACATTTTTAATAAAAATTGAAAGTGTGGCTAAGGGGTCCTATTAAATTCTAAAATATTTTGACATGTTAAAAAATTTCCCAATAAATTATTAGGAGCCTGATTGGACCACTATAGCATAATTAAAAGTTTGATTGGTCTCTATAGCAGAATTAGGGGGTCTTAGGGGGTCTGATAGGCCTTTATAACATAATTTGGGGGTCTGATAGGCCTTTATAACATAATTTGGGGGTCTGATTGGGCCTTTATAACAGCCAGAAAAATTAACTAGAAGTGCAAAATTCTGGGGAAATGCTTAACTAATTCAGTAACTTATGCATTGATAATTGAAGTCGGGCTTTCACTTGTGAAAATTTTCCATAGTAACCCCAACACTTTTTTTATGCTCGGCAATTTCAATCTCAAGTTTTTCAATCTTATTAGCATCTCCGTGAAAAAATTTCATAGTAACCCCAACACTTTTTTTATGCTCATTGAGATCGGCAACTTTAGTCTCAAATTGTTCAATCTTTTTAGCATCTCCTATTTTATTATGCAATGCGCAAGCAAAAGCTCCTGATATTAAAAAAAAAACTTTAAACATTTTGAAATCAAACCTGATTAAATTTTCTCATCATACTTAATACTTACCCCATATATGAGAAGTTGTGTATAAAAATATGACCCAACAGTTAAGGTCTGATCTTCATCTATTTCACTAGAATTGGACCCTGTTTTAAGACAGTGATAGTCCTGAAAACAAACAAAAATTAGATACAAAAATAAAATCTAAACTACAATAAATATCAACACTTACTTTTCCGGTTCCGATAACAAATTTAGTTGTCATGGTGTTACATTTCACTTCTTGTTGAAGCCTATGGAGCTAGTGGTTTGATTAGTTTTTTGTGAACCAACGTAAATACTTTATCCATTCTTTCTAACTCAAGAAACGAAGACGGAAATATTTCATTCGGAAGAAGCTATGAGTGCACTGCTCTACTGGAATTGTTGTATCAATGACGTACTATTGAGACATTGGAGTTCTATGAAGACGCTGAGTGGAAGCTGTTGTTTTTGGTCTGTATGGTCGTCTATCTTGACGATTGTACACGCGTTGTTTGCTTCTGAGTTTCTTTTGATAAAGAAGAGTGGGTGTGGCATTGGGTCGGGTGGTTTGCTGAATTTGGTGAGAATGGAGTTGGGCTGCTAGGTTGGCCCAAAAAAGGGTCTCTTAAAGATTAAAAAAAAATGTGGTAACATATGGAATAAATTGAGAAGGCATCCATTGTATGCGTACGAGCAACGTTCAGCTCACTACAAGGCTAAGCTCTACACCTCTACCACTCCCTTAAGATCTGTCTATTTGATGATTCAAACAATTTTGATCCTTTTAATTCAACTCATTCAAAAATTAAACTTATTTGGGTAACATATGGGATAAGTGCACTAATAGTTGATTTGAGGAGTGTTATTCAAAATCATAGCTAAAGTTTTATATGTAAGATACACATCTTTATGATCACATGTATGAGATTGAAGTTGAAAAAAATTACATGTAGAATCTTAACTTCTAACAAAAATTCTGTCAACGACAAATCGTTTGTTTTGTATATTTTGTTATTACTATTTATATGTAAAAATAGAAAATCTATAGGAGTTTTGATAACTTTTTTAAAATTGTAATGGGTCAGACTACCAATTGACACAAATCTTCTACTTAATACGTATATAGTTATGGATTGAATTTATTAAAGGAAAAATAACTAGAATACACAACCTTAGTTAATGTATTCACAATAACTCCCTACTATTTTAAAAAAATTCAAAAATCCCTATTTTCCCAAAAACGAAACTACAGTAGATACATTATTATTAAAAATTCCAAACCATTAGTTACCACCCCTAAATTTACTCTCCTCTAATTTCTCCCACTTTACTGTTCACGAACACTTCCCTTCCAAAAAATTCTCCTCCATCTTCTCAACAGATTCATATTCCAAGTTTGAATTTCAAACTATTTCGCACTCCATTCAACCAATTTCAGAATTTGAAATAGGTAGTCTCTTCATCTTCAACTTTTTTTTTCATTTTTTTTTTAAATTTTCTAATAATTCATGGATCATCCATCTTTTAGTTTGGGGATTACCCAAATAGTCAAAAACTAAAAAGGAGGCACATGCAAAAACGGCCAAGAAAAGGGGTAGAAAGGTCGCCCCTACCATATCCAGATCTGCACTACCAACGGTATGTATTTTAATTTTTTTTTCTTTTTTTTTTGTAATTTTCTGTATTAACATGTAATGAGTTTTGTGTAATAGTAGATACATTATTGTTAATTAAAAATCATTATGTATATTGATTAAATTCTTCATTTGTTACACAAAACCCTATTTTTTGATATATTTGTTTATTTATTACGACTAATGTATCAAAAAGTTAAAATTCAAATAATGAGATAGAACTGTTGATAGTTATTATTAATTTATCAAATGGTTGTTTTGTGTGTCATTTATTCATTTTACCAGAAAAGGCATTATTGGTCATTTTTGTGTTCGCAAAAGTGTATGAAAGTTTAAAGTTCAAATTAGAGGATTACATGTATGTTGCATAACGCATAATGTTTAATAATTTGGCTTATTGTTTCTATTAAGTATCAAGTTGACTAATTCATAATTTGTAGTTAGTATTATGTATCAAGTACAATTTTACATTTTTATGTATCATTTGAAAGCTTATTGTTTCTATTAAGTATCAAGTTGACTAATTCATAATTTGTAGTTAGTATTATGTATCAAGTACAATTTTACATTCTTATGTATCATTTGAAAGCTTATTGTTTCTATTAAGTATTAAGTTGACTAATTCATAATCTGTAGTTAGTATTATGTATCAAGTACAATTTTACATTCTTATGTATCATCTGAAAGCGTATTGTTTCTATTAAGTATCAACATCATATTTATAATCTGTAGTTAGAATTATGTTTCAAGTACAATTTTACCTTCCTGTGTATCATCTGAAAGCTTATTGTTTCTATTAAGTATCAACATCCTATTTATAATCTGTAGTTAGAATTACGTATCAAGTACACTTTTACATTCTTGTGTATCATCTGTAAACTTATTGTTTCTATTAAGTATCAACATCATTATGTTAATCTTTTTTTTTAGTGATTGCGGAATGTTCGTAGCTGCATTTGCTAAATTCTTGAGTGACGAAATCAACATGTCATATGATAGCTTTCGAAGTGATTATCTTCGCAAAAAATATGCAACGCTGTTATGGAAGTATGGTCTCGACAAGGCCAATGCTGGATATGTTAGCGACAATGATGACCCTCCAAGGCTGAATAGTGTCGTAAATCCAGTAGCAGAAAATGAACTTGTTAATGTAGGCTAGTTAGTTTTCTATGTTACTGTTCACAGACATATACAATGCTTTTTGTTTTTTAAGATATATTAATTAGTGTTTTGGAGTATTTATTGCCCTTATAATAATATAGTTTTGATTTTGGAAGAGTTTTGAGGTTTAAAAATGTTTATTTTCGCTTTTAATTTTATGTTTAGTTCAGTTAGGACTTCAGAAATTATGTATCTGATACATGTGATAATAATGACATTTTTTATCTGATAAGTATGATAATAATTACATTAATAAAATTTTGTGACTGAAAAATTATGCACCACGTTTCTGAAGCTTTTTTTGGACGAACAGAGATAAACAATTCAAAATTTGTATTTTCTAATTATTTTAGTGTTTCATATAGACTGAAACTAAATGTTTGAAACAAATAAATTTAGCCATATTTTGAGGGACTTAATAACGGTAGCGTATTTGGGGGGATGTAATTAAATTTTCAGTTTCTAATCCCTTACCTCATGCAACAAACTGATAATCATACATCAAATATAATGTATCACACGGCGTAATGATGTATCCGATACTTATTAAAAAGATGGGATTTTTGTAATTTGTGAAAGAGTAGGGATATGAGGTAATTTCTGTTTTACACTATGTGGTTTGCATAATTTTTATTTATTAAATGTAACACCATTATTAATCTTTGATTTAATTGGTGGGTCTTTCAGATGTCACCTCTCTTTCGGCCTTAAATGGTAGCAAACTAGTCAAACTCCCTAACAAAATTATTAAAAACATCTATACTTTAAAATAATTATTGAAAATGTCAATATGTCAATATTTTAGCAAATAAAATTTATTCTAATATAATTAATTTTCTTTCCTTTTATTTATCAAATCAGTCCCCACATTGGACTAATTTTTCTCCTCTATCGGTGAAAAAGAAGAAAAACAACTCTCATTACCCAAAATTCCTTCTTTCTCTCTCTTGAGTTTTTCACCATTGTTTTCTCCTTTCCTTATCTAAGAAAATCACCTCTCCTATTTTCTTCAATTTGTTCAAGAAATCTCACAATAACTTTAAAATATTTTTCACCCACTAATAAAGGTAAATACATTGTCACCAAGTATCTTTTGAGATTTCCCTCTTTTATATAAAGACACTATTAAAAAAAATGGGTGCTGTGACATGTGGATCGATCCAAAACATAAGGTAATTTAAATTCATGTTATTCTCGTTATTATTAAAGTTATGATATTTATATTTTCTTTGTAGAAACGATGCGACATAAACAAGGTCAATCGAACTAAGCTTAAAATCTAATCATTTCATGGGATCAAAAGCATTTGTAGCAGCTCGTGCTGAACTTGTAAGTTATACTGTTTTTAATTTTTTACTAATTAAACTTCAGTACTATTTCAATTGTTTTTCTTATTTCACAGGGTGAAAATGAACCTGAAAAGTAGAGCCTGACAAAATCGAGTTCTACAAGCATACTCATTACAAGAGTAAGAAAGGATGGTCATCTTTAGAGGCTAAGACTCACTATGAAGGATGGTTATCCAACGCGTTTGTTCGATTAATGTTCTTCTGAAGTTGTGTCTTCTCCTTTAAATAGTATTTATATTTTTATGCAGAACAACATGAAAGATTTGAAAGATCTATATACTTCGGGAGAGGCTTCCATGACTACTGATGAAATTGTGGATACCGTACTTGGTACAAAATCGGGGTACATAAGAGGACTTGGTTATGGTCCAAAACCTAATACTACAAGAGCTACACAAAGGAAAACGGCAGAGTTAGAGGACTCCCTCAGAAAAGCGAAACAGGAAGCTGCTAGTGCCTAAAATAATTTACAGAATCTATTAAATGCCGCTGAAACTGTGGTAGAAAACCAGCAGACTCAAATACAAGACCAGCAGTCTCAAATAGAAGCATTAAACTCTCAATTGAATACTATTGTGGCACGCCAAGAGGAAATGTTTAGGAAAATGCAGTGTTTTGCTCGCTCATCGCCTTCTAACAGGTTAGAAGTAACACAAACTTATGTGATAATTTTTGCTTTAGTTTTTTTCATGAAATATATAAATATGTAGCATTTAGTATCTAACATTGCATACTTCCTTTTATGATGCAACAGAGACGGAGCTCCATGAGAATGCCAACTTTAGGTATATTTTTATTTCGTCAACGTAAAGTCCAGTTTCAAAAGTTATAGTTTATATCAATTATTTTATTTATATTATATTAATACGTTAATACCTTAGCTCAAGAAAAAAAAGTTAGTATTGAACATGCCATATACTTTACGCCCTAGGTGCGTCCTAATCTTACTGGACATAGTGTAGAAAAGGCTACCATACCTTATAGAGGGGAAACATTGCAAGTAGCTAAGTAGAGATAAAGAGAAGATTCCTCCTTTTTACACTACATTATAGATTTTCAGACCATGGAAATAGAATATCAATATTGTATAGCTGCAATTCTTATCCTTCTCAGTCTCTTACTCCTTGCTTTGGATGTATCTGGTCATTTAGTGATGATATAGTTTGGTTTCCTTAATTCTTGATAGCAAAGCTTTGTATTCTTAGGGAAATCAGTAGCACATAGAACCAACATTTTTACAGTTGGGAGATATTCCAAAAGGTTTCTAATATCTTAGCCATAGAATTGGCAGGAAGTTGTTCATATGCTTACTGGAATACTTTTGTACTCTACTAGTAGTGCAGTATTCCTTTAGATGTATGATTGGTAGTGCTAGATATATAATTCAATATAGCTGTTGGAAGCAAAATCATGATTAGAATTTAGAATAGAATAAAATTGTGTGTTAATCTTTGTTAATGTTGTAATACCGTTGGTGCTAAATGGTTTAATTCAAACCTCACATGAAAAATAACTTAAAACTCATATGACATGTGTAGTTTTAGTGTAGAAAGAGAAAACATACTAGTAGAAGTGTGAAGGAGCCATACATTATTTCCAATATCATTGGCATAGCGTTCTGATTTCTTCCTCTCATTTCAACATTCTGAGTCTGATTTGCTCTTCTTTTGTTAACGAATCCTTAATTCACCTTCTCTTCTTATAGCTTCATTCTCGCACTTACTACTAACTTCCATTTTTTTTCATTCTTTCATGAATCTAAAAGGAAAAAGTCAATCTTATTCTTATGGGTTGATTAAAACTGCTGCAAAAATACAATCTTTTAACTCTTTTTTAGACTCTTTTGAGTTGCCATTAATATACTGCTTAGTTTTGTTTGAAAGATGGGTACAGATAGTAAATACCAAATGGTGGTGAATGAATTTATGGTAAGATGATCTTATAATAAGAACCTATGTTGCTTGGAGTCTCTAGAAATGTTATTACAGATGTATCGAATCTTCCAAAATGCACTACTTTTGGAGGATCAGACATTTTTGAAGAGTTCGAGTGTCATAGCAAGAACTTTACTTTTTGAAGAGTTTGGAATTTATGGTAAAATGAGCTTATACTAAGAACTTTCTTTCTGCCGAAGTCATTCTTGATTTTTAAAATTTGATAGGACTAATTACATTTCTCTGGACAAAAGATCCAGCAAAGTGAAAGATCTATTGTATGATAATTGATAGCCATTATATATTGTTCTATCCCATCAAGTCTTCACAGCAAATTTAAAGCAGATGATATGAAAAAGAAAAGAAGATCAATAAACTATCTCATGAATTTGTTTGGAACAACTGTACATTAAACTTCATCCTAGTCTACCCACTTTGATTTGAAAGAGTATGTTTTTGCATCTGTTGTTGAAAAGTTACGACTTGTTTGGATACTTTGCCCCTAGGTTTATCGTTTAGTGGTAACATAGAGCTTGCTCCTGTTTCTAGTGATTTAATGATCGTAGACCACCTTGTTAGATAGGGGCTTAGGTCAGAAAATTCAGTATGATATTAACCAGCAGGTACAAGGAGATACTGAAGCTAAATTTGTTCCAATTTGTGTTAAGTTTGTCCTTAATAAAATGTTGGCATACCGCGATCCTGCACCATTTTATTTTCCTAAAGGAAAAGGCGTTGAGGATCTCCCTGATGCTTTGATTGCCCTTTCAATGTGGCTCTCTGAAAAAGAGTAAGATTACTATGACAACATGTTTGAGCAGACTAGTTTCACTGGTGCAGTTCACTATTTCCCTAATGCCTTGAGCCATCCATTTTCACAGTATCTATTACCAACAACTGTCTTGCTAGGTGTATATTGCCACCAATCAGTCCCCTTTATACACACACTTTTCACCCATTTTACTCAAAGGTTATCAGCATGTTGGCTATATTCCATAGATACTTTGCCACTGCATCTGCATTCCATATCATACAATCAGTGATCCCCTTTAAAGTTGTCACGTTTTCCTTCATTTTGGGCTATTGTATGCTCCGGTGTTGTCACACTTTCCCCTTAGATTCTTGTTATTGTTAAAGTTGATATTACTCCATAGAGTTGTCTTGGAGGTGTGTTACTTTGTAAAGGTAAAGTTAATTAGTACATTACTAGATGATGTGGTAGTCAACAACTTGAGGAGAGTAGGAGATCAAAAGAAATATAATGTCTATCTTTTTTTTGGTAACCATCTAAACATTACCATTACTGAAACGAAAACAGACACCTAAAGAACCCTTGAGCACAACAACTGCATCTCAAGCCTCCAACAAGACACAAAACTAGTTACACTTTCAGCCTTTGTAGAAAAATACTACATCTGCAAGCTCTCTTTGATGAACTAAGTATGTCTATTCTATGTAAAATCTCCCTCTTAATTTGTGTGTGTATCTCAGCTATTTGTATATGTACTCCTTTGGAAAAAAATCATTTCTGGGCTCTCCGAGTATGGTAGATCATTTCCCCCCAACTCACAGTTATCACTTGTTTCTAAAACTGCTTCCGTTCCTTCCTTTTAATTTTCAGCATTACTTCCTTCACCTCCCCCAGTTGTATAGGCAAGCATGTCCATTGTTCAACACCCCTGTTGACCTCAGTGATCCATGGGCATTCACTGAACAAGTGTTTGACTGTCTCCAGCTTCTGAGCATCACATAAACAACAATTAACTTCCTCCACTGAGATGTTCATCTTCATCAGCCTTTCCTTAGTTAGCAATCTGTCTTGGACAACTTACCATAGAATAAATCTATGTTTAAGTTGAGCCACTGCACTCCAAATGCATTCAGCAATATGTGAATTGTTGTGGTGCCCTCTAATATCAATACAGCTCCTTGTGATTGAGTATTCACCTCCCTTAGTCAGCCTGTACCTATC